CCCCTCCTCCCACCTTCCTCCTCCTTCCTCCCCATCCTTCCCATCTGTTCTCTCCTTCCTCCCACTCCTCCCTCCCTCCTTCCTACCCCTCCTCCCTCCCTTCTCTCCGTTCTTGTAGAATGTAGGTAGTTTAGATGTAGATTTTAGAATGTAGACATTGTAGAATGTAGGTTCTGTAATAGAATATTTTTTAGCCTATTTTATATGTTTTGAATAGAATAGGCAATTTTAGGTCTTTTGATTAGAAATTTTAGTATTGGAAATTTTTAGTTGGTAGAATTTGAAAAAATGTTCTGTACTTGTTATATTGTGAACTTAGGGCATATTTTTAGGGTTTGGTAAAAGAAATAGTAATAGTGGATGATGATGTAAATGTATTAGGTATAGAACATTTTGAATAGATGATGATGTAGATTTTTTAGTACAACTAGTTTATTTAGTGTTGCTCAAGAATTGCTCATATGATGTAGATATAAACATCTATATCTAGTGTTGCTCAAATAGGATATGTGCTTGCCCAAGTGGCCATGTTTGCAGGTAACAGCTCCGAGTGGCCTATGTTTTGCCGGAGTGTTGATTAATTTCCGTTCCGGCAAATTTTAGGTGCTCGATATGTTCTTTTTTAGCAAAGGTCATGCTGGATTTTTCCTTTGAAGTGGATCGTTAATCCTTTTCTAATATTGCTTTAGGAAAATGGCTTCACCACCACCACCACCACCACCACCACCACCATGTTGACTGTGCAAGTCAAGATGTGCCAGCAGCCTTGCAACTGGCACGTTGTTCGGCATCTACTTCCAGCCGAGTTTTCTTCTTGCAGCGGTTACAAAATATATGAAACTTGTCACAACTATTTTGTTTTTAATGTTATTGGCATTAATGCATTGTGTATATATCATTGTGTATACACAGATCGTCCCATGCAGTGTGAGGTTGGAATTCAACAAGCTGACCGGAGACACTGTGACCTTTGAGGTCGAGAAAGGACAAAATATGTCACAGATCGAAGGATATGGATGGAACCATTTCATCTCCCACATGGGTATCACTGGTGGTGAGTTGA